TTCAAAACTTTTTTGGGTAACGATTTTACCCTGGTCTGGATTATCGTTATACCGAATACTGCCGAAATTAATTACTTTACCGGGGCCGAAAAATTATTCGGCTAATTTTTGCCAGGTGTCCCAGAATTTATGATAACAGCTGTAATGTCTTTTTGAATAATTTCGGCAATACTTTGTAGTATGAAAAACCAATTTTAGCAAACTAAGTTTGTACAATTCTTTTTAAGACTACGATGTATTTATGCATGTGTGTAACATAGAGAGGTCGTGCATTATATTGATTGAACCTAACGCATAGCGTGTTCACATGACTAAACCAGTCACGTCGCTAAAAGACACATCTGTCACTTTAGTAATAAGGGAAATAAGTGTCATATATGTTGTAATTAGAGATGGGAAAATCGCGGGTTTTCAAAAAATCCCGCGCGGGATTCATTAAATCTAGGTGCCGCGCGGTTGAACTTCAATTTTGATTTTCCAACGACTGTGATCGACAAAATTTTGGCCGCATTATACATAATTTTGGCCGGAGTTTACGTATGGGCGGAAATTTCCAATATTCATAATTTTTATTATGCAAAAAAGTTTTTTGAACCAATCATATAAAAGATTTGGAGTGACTACTGAGATTAAAAGTGATATTTTCGTAAATTTCTTATGAGTTAACTTATCAGTTGCTTATCAGTTTTTTATATAGTTTACTTTATGAGTCTATTAATTGATTACAAGCTATTATCAGTTTTTATACGATTACTCTATAAATTTTATAGTCAGCCATTAATTAATTGTTTACAGCTCTTATCAGTTTTTATATACGTAGTTATTCTATAAATTTCTATAGTTATTTTCGCCACTATTAAGATGGTTACAGTTTCTCATAAGATTGCGGTTTAGATAGTTACACTTTTTTGTTTTTTATTACTTTGTTATTTACTGTATCATAATTTGAATAATGGAACTCGATTATTATGAACAATAGTTGTATAGATAACGCACAATTATCATAAGCAATAGTTAACAGATAGTTTATACAAACATTGTGTGTAGATTTAGGTTATTCGGAATATTGCTTACAATGTAGTAAGTTGATATGGAACTTTTCTATTCATTTTATATTTCAATTTAATGCATATTCAAATATCTGGTTTATTTATTAATACATAATGATAATAATTTATTATATAAATTAAAAACAGCAAAATTTGTCAGATAACCAGATTTTACTATAGGCTTAGTAAAACGAATTTAGTTTATGCTAAGTTTAGCAGAAAACGAATTTAAGCTTAGCATAAAATGACTTTTGGTTAAAGGCTAAATCTGATGCTTATTCACAAGTATAGCGATAAAAAGTAAACTGGGTTGTTACCCGGGTAATAGTTTTATAAATGGGTGAGTAACCCAGAGTAAAAATTTATACAGTAACAGAGCCTAATCTCTAGCCAGGTCAATTGGATCAATCAGATTATTTAAAGTAACCTGGTTTATAACCCAGAGAGAGATTTTTTTAATAGTTGCAATCTCTATTGTTATTTGAATTAAAAAAATTAAAAATTTAATAAAGTTTACATGCACAAAGAAAATAAATAAATAGCTTAATTAAAAACTATTAATTTGACCAAATGAAATATTTTTTTAAATATTGAATTATGAATATATTAAATCTTAAAGATAATTATCCTATAATAGAAGTAACATGTCATATTGGAAATTGTAATTATAATTATCAATATGATGTTTTAAAATTAGGAAATTATCCAACAAAAAATATAAAACAAACGCAAAGAGAAAAATATCAAATTCTTAATAATTACAAGGTTTAAGTTCTAATATATAATCAAGCTATTATCTGTGAAACAAATTAACAACATGATGGAAAAGTAGAATATAAAGTAACTTGGGAAAAAGAAAAGCAAAAATATGAAATTACTAATAAATCATCACCTAGTAATGCTGCATGACAATTTATGTAGGTAAATTTTAATATATATTTAAAAATATATATATAACTTATATTTATTAATAAATTATAATTTAGAAATTAATGCAAAACAACAAAGTTAATTTTTCAGGAATAATTTTATTTGGCCTAGATTTACAATGTTTAGAATTATAGTGAAAAAATAGTAGTCAATTAAAAATTTTTTTAAATCTATACAAAAGAATTATCATTTAAAAAAATTAGTTTTGGATTTTCATTCTTGTTTTGAAAATTTGTTTAAAAAATATAATTTTTCTAATACAAAATTAAATAATTTTGAGTTAGATATTTCTGGAAAACCAATTGAATTTAAGTTTACTAAATCTAATCCATCACTTAATTATCTTGATTCTACTATTTATGCATATAACAAAGGATTAATTTCAAAAGATAGTTATAGAAATTTGGCAGCTATTCAACCTTTACTAGAAAGAGAGTATATTATTGCTATATGACAAAAAGAAATTAATAAAATTATGGAAAAAATAATTTTAATTAAAGAATTTAATATCAAATCTACTCCAATTATAAATGATTATAAAGAAATCTTAATTAACAAGACTCAAATTGAAAATAGAGCAACAAGATCTTTAATAACTTTATTAATTACATTAATTCCAATTGTAACAATTGGAGATAATCCAGTTTTGCAAAAAGATGATCTTATTAAAATTAAGTTAAGTAGTAATGGATGACAAGTAGGTCAATATAATAATCAAGTAATGATTACAGTATGTATTCTTAATGAAAAAAAATGATGTACTTAGTCTAAAAAATCAATATTGGTATGTAAATTTTATAATGATAAATATTTAATTAATTGTTTTATAGTTTACTAAATTATATTAGTAATATTAAATACTATATTTAAATTTATAACTTATATATATATTTAGTATTTGTCTTTATTCTGAAAATGAAAAATATGAATCATTATTAATTGCATATCAACAAATTATTGAAGAATTAATTAATTTGCATCAAAACATTTTAAGGTTCATCTATAGAATAAGGTGTACTAATGCACTTGATAGTCACATCAATTATCACATTACACAAATGTAACCTTTGATCGTTAGTATATTTTATTTACATTAATGTTATACAATGGATTCGTGTATCGAATTTAAGAATACAATTACAAAGAAAAGATAAACGTCTGTTGGTTCTTTGTAGTTATAAGAATTACCAA